AAAAAAAAAAAAAAAATCTGAGATATTATGAGTCCCATTTTGGGGTGAGAGAAGGGAGGAGATGGGTGAAGATTTGATTCTGCAGTGTGTTGACCACAAGGGAGATACTTTGAGGGTTTTTGTGAGGGAAGGTGCCTTGGCATAAGTCGTGGTTTGCAAGTGGTAGCACTCTAAACAAAATGCTGTTATTGTGGGGTTTTCTGGCTCAGACTCCAGGAAAAATGAATTTCCCTTTGCTGGCTGCCAGTGAAGCTATGGTGTTTGTTTAAAAAAGTATTAGTACCAAAAGTATTTGGTTCTTCCAAATATTTCGTCTCTTCTTCAGAGACAAAACTGAGAAGAAAGGTACGTGGGCTGAGTTTTTATTCTTGAGTGGGCCTAATCGAAGGTCTTGCTAACATGCTTGTGTGGTAGCTAGCTGCTCATGAGTTAAGCATGTCATTCCTGAGAGGTTACAGAGTTTTTAGTCTCATTTATCTTTATATGTGACGTTTATTTCCTGGGGGTCTTCAGTCCTCCTTAAGAATTCTCTGTGTTTCTTATTGCATTGGGTCCATTCAGTACTTTCCAGACGTGACCCTGACCTAGCTGTTTCTGACACAGAACTGCTGACAGTTTATCTTTTTTCCTACCCACTTCCTCCCTTCTTTGCATATGTGAAGAATATTTGAAGATTAAACATGGTTTAATTTATAAAACATGTATATCTTTCCCTGTACTTGACAGCAAACAGGAAGATGTACTACTAAGTTCTGATGCATATTTAACATAGCTCTTTTTACTACTTATTAATTACTCTTTTCTTCGTTTTAAACAGCTTGCACTTTCCAGTGACAAGATTGCGACATTACAAATGCCACTTTTAAATCTTCATCTCGACGTCAAGGAAAATGGTGAAGTAAAACCGTACTCTGTTGAAATGAGTAAAGAAGAGCTGCAGAGTCTGATCAGTTCCTTGGAAGCAGCTAATAAGGTCCTGGGTTTACCTTTGTCTTATGATTTAAATGTTTAAGTTTTGATTGATACTCTTAGAGCCCTTTACGAAAAACGTATAATAAGTTCACTATTAATGTTGCTTTTTTCCCCTGATAGTTTATGAAGTACAGAAAATACTTGGTTAATATGCTCTGATCTCTGGCTTTAAATATTAGTTACAACTTGTCATGTTTATTTACTTAGTTTTGAGCAGTTGTTTTGAAGGAATAATAGTATTATTAGTCTAGCAGCTGAATTTGTTTTTCATTAGTGCTCATCAGTGATAAAAGTACAATTTTTATCTTGAGACCATGAAATTAATTGATTCTAAAGAATTTTTATGATAAAAAAAATGATGATCCTGAAAAGAAATGGCTTATTTAACTGGACAAATAATAGAAAAATTGCTTTTATAATTCTTCAAGTATGGGAGAAAAAATATGGCTTGTCTTTATTATGACAAAATAAAACTAATGAATCTCCATAAATTTTACATTTACAGTGGAGTGTCTAATAATAGTAACGATAGAAACTCGCTGTGAGGAAGGAGTGAAAGTAACTGTCTTCGTGTGTGAATGTCCCTTCAGTATTGCTCAGCGTTATCTCCGGAGATCTGGTCTCAGCGATTAGGTCTCAGGTTTTCTTACCAGCCTTTCTTGCCACAAGTCAGTCTTAATCCTGCCTTTAAAAAACCCTCATAAACACAAGCTTCTTTCCATACTCTGAACTTGCTTGAATATTTTAATGCCTTGACAACTGGTCCACATGCCCAGTAACCAAACTGGTGGCTCGAGCCTGGCTGAATGGGGCGAAATGTGTGAGCGGGGCACGTGGCCGGGCCTGGTATAAGTGCTAACAGATTCTGAACCATATATCTGGCAGGAACGTTCCATCAATCAGTGTGCATTGGGCTCGCCTGTTAGGAGTTCTTTAGCTCTTCTTCAGAGATTTCAAAGCATTTTATTTAGTATAGATCAGCATCTGTCTGGTATAACCTGATATTTCCCCCTCTCAATTGTGTTTTAAGGTGGTCCGGCAGTTGAAATAACCGGAACTGATGAATATCACTGTTGTCCGATTTCACTGCTACAGCCGATGTGACAGAATGAATTCTGGGCTGAGAAACCCTGCCACGTGTTGGCTGTGACAGCGGTCTGAGAAGCAGCAGTGTGAGAACACAAAGATCAAAATCTGTCAGCATCCCTGAAGAACAGGAAATTATATGGTTGATAGGAAATGCAGAAAATGGAAGATGAAAAATCTGCAGAAGCTGTTTATATTTTCATGATGATTGTTTCGCCTCATTTATTAAATACTTGCAAGATCTGCGTAGATACGTAGTATATACTTTTATTGAAAGTGAGAAATAGGTCCTAAACGTAATGTAAATAAACAAAGCACAGATATAGTTGAACATTGCTTGAAGAATTATGTGACTAGCAGGGACATACGTTATGGATATATAACTTTTGTGATATTTTTTACAAGTAACTTTTTAAAAAAATGTATAACCTGCATATATAACTTAGGAGAGGCCTTATCTTTCTCATATTTCAAAGGAAAGATTATACAATTAAAATGTCTTAGAGAATAGCTCTTCATCAGACATGAACAAGAAAAAATACTCCAAATTTATGTGAACAGTCTTGAATTTAGGAATTCTGGAAACCAAAATCTAGAATATGGAAACATGAAAGTAACACTTGTTGCTTCTGCATTCCTGTGTCTGATTGGCAGTCTGTGCTCTGATAACACGAAAAGTTATCATTGTGTGGTGGATATATTCAGGTATCAAGTAAGGCTATACAGGTCCATTTTTGTTATAAACTCTTAATATGGAGTTTATTGCTTTTTAGATATTAACACATCCATTGGAAAACAAACCATTTTTAACCTCAGTTAGCTTTAAAACCAATCATTCTGAACAAATAAAAATGTCTTATTTTTATATGTTGCTTTATTTGAAATGACTGTACGTAACTCCCTAGTCAATAATGCATGCTTAATTGGCGTCTGCCATTTGTAAGCTTTATGACTTACTTGAGCAGGAGACTATTCTTCGAGGTGTCCAGAACAGTTACTACTATTCTCATCCTACAGATGAAAATAGGCTTAGAGGGTTTTAATAAACACCGGCGTGCCGTCTCAACAGTGCCATGTAGAATGTGTCTGTAAGCCAGCGCTTGTCTGTGAACTGCTTGTTGTAGGTTGGTGATTAAATAAGAAGCTTGTGCCAGAACGTTCATCAAACTACTGCTTTCTTCATCAAGCAGTTTTGGTTTTGAAACATTATTAGCTGAAGTAAACAGTGTGTGTAGTGTGGTGGTTGATTTATCTTGTGCAAGTTCCTGTGCCATCATGGACCAGTAAGATGTTGTAGACCAACACGCTGAGTAGTCATCATGAGACATCTTCAGAATCTCAGCTTTCCACGCACCGTCTCCATTAGAAGGAAGAAATCTTCCTGTGCGCTGTCTCCCTCTCACGGTGTGGCAACTCTCCATTAGCATATTCACAGCTTTATTATGGTCCAGCTGGTGCGGCCGTACTGCAACATGCTAAGGCCTGCGATCTGGTGAGCTTTAACATGGACACAGAGAGCATCTCCACAATTAAGACAGTGGATGTTCCTGAAAGTTTCCTCCTGTTCCTTTGTAGTTTTTGCCCTGACCCTTTCCAGGTCAGGGTTTTGTACAGATGGAATCATGCAGAGTATGCTTTATTGTAAAAACTCCGGCTTCTTCAGCATTATTTGATTCATCCATGTTGCATATATCAGTAGTTCATTCATTTTATTTATTTTATTTTGTTTTTTTGAGACAGAGTCTCTGTTTGTTGCCCTCGGTAAAGTGCTGTGGTGTCACAGCTCACAGCAACCTTAAACTCTTGGGCTTAACTGATTCTCCTGCCTCAACCTCCCATGTAGCTGGGACTACAGGCACCCACCACAGAGCCCCACTATTTTTTGTAGCAGTTGTCATTGTTCAGCAGGCCTAGGCCAGGCTGGAACCCGCCAACTTTGGTGTATGTGGCTGGCGCCGTAACCACTGTGCTATGGGTGCTGAGCCCATTCATTTCATTCTTGAGAAGTATTGTGTTGTAAAGCTCTGTCATAATTATTTTTTTAATCTATTCACCTGTGGATGGATATTTTGGTGGTTTCAACTTTTTGGTGATTATGATACTCAGTGCTATGAACATTTTTGTATACCTTGTTGTATGGACATACGCTTTCTTCTGAGGAAGTACTTTGACAGTAAAATGGCTGGTCATTTGATAGGTTCACTTTTATCTTTTCAAGATAATGCCCATCGCACTTTTGGAACTCTTTCTGGAATGGACATCGGAGCTATCATTCTAGAAGGTCTGATACATTTGTGAACTCATCCTAGAAAACGTGCTTTGAAGGGGGGACTAGGTGCTGGCCCTGGGGCACAGCTTCCCAAGGGGAGCGCCTCAGAGGTGAGCATAGTCGCATTCAGCAATGATGGCTGTAGCACTTTTAGGGGGGATGAGTTCGCAAAGTTAATTCTCTAACTTTGTATAATGGCTGGGCAGGAATGACAGTGTTTTAAGCAGCTGAATACGATAGGAGGCCTCTCCTTTGGGGCCTGCAGTAAGAATGGGTGTGTGTGGTGTTACGATATATGTATTGGTTTCTATCCATGGTTCCGATGGAGTTCCATTACTCCCATTGTCCTTGTTGTAATGTTGGGACACTTTAGGCCTGAGGACAAGGTCTCAGGAGGTAGAAGCGTTCTTTCTGAATTTCTGTCATCATTCTGCTGGCCAACTAAAGCTCTAATTTGTGGGTCAAAAGACTCTCATTCCACAGAAAAAAATTGGCCAGACTGGAAGCACCTGGGACATTCTTTTGGCGACCAGATGGAATTTCTAGTTTCTTCAAGTCAGTGACAGAAAGGGAGAGGGAAATGTTCTAGAGTCAAAAACACTTGAAACATAACCAAACGCAATCAGTAGGAAAAAACAACGGTACAAAGGCATTTTGGAGGCAATCGCACAAATGTGAATAGAGGCGGGGCATTAAATATCAAGGAATTTATTATTTTTCGCTAAGGTAATGATGTTACGGTTAGATTTTTAAAATGTCCATAATTTATAAAAATACATATAAATAAAATGACAAAATATAAGATCTGCTTTAAAATATTTTAGGAGAAAAACCCTACGACTGATGAAGGGAGGCAGATGGGACTCGACCGTGCTAGACTTTTGGTAGTTGCAGCATTTGGTTCAATGGAATTAGATGTGAAATAACTAGGACCCCAGCGATAGCATCCGTACAGTGGCTGCACAAACCCGCACACTTCGACATGTCTGGACAAGACTCTCTTGCAATCTCGTGTATGACAAGAGACTTACCCAGTTCTGTCTGGACGCTTTCTTTCTCTTTTTCTTGTTGCAGTTTGGCTGCGGCTGGGTTTGAACCTGCCACCCTCAGTATCTGGGGCTGGCGCCCTACTCACTGAGCCATGGTGCCGCCCATGTCTGGACACTTTCATACTCACTTTGCAGGTTACTGTGAATGTTGGGTATGCCCTAATATCATTGGTTTAGTTGGTCTTCCCATCTAAATTGCAATTTTCTCTGAGGCCATGGATATTTGTTATCTTTACCCTAGTCTGTCATTGCCCTTGCATGATTGCCATTAAATGCTGGCTGAATTAATAAACACTTCACTTCTCTTTGCTTAGGAAGATGCCGGATGCTCAACGTCTATCCTGCTTAAGCTTCTTTATTGACGTAGCAAATCCCGATTATACCTGTGTTTCCTATGCAGGGTGGCCACGAAGTTCATGTGTGATTCAAACTAGTGTTCAATTTTAAATTGCATAGACCTTTCTGGACACCCTGTACATTTGCTAGTTTTCTAAATTTAAATAAAACAGGATGGCCATTCATTTCTCCCATTGCATAACATAATCTTGCTGGAAATAGTAGCTGATATGGAATGCCTTAAAAAATCCCTGTGGCCTTACAGGCTGAGGATCAGCTTGTAAAGTGGTGATTTCCAGTTATTTTGTAAGATAGATGTTCAAGGCATCCTTGGGGTAGAAAAGAGGCTTTTACTAAAAAGCTATTTGACTAATTATCAACTCATAAATAAACTTCACACTTTGGGTCTGTTCATTATTTTATTGTCAACACGTTCTTTCTGAAGGGAGAGAATGAATTTGAGAATTGGAGGTCTTCAAAAGAGAAAGACTGACAAAGAGGCCGACTCAAATATCCATATTTACAAGTGGAGACTTTAAAAGAAACTTGACACAATGCACCTCACAAAAGGATGCTGTAAGTCAATTTTAGGCATCATTTTTTAATACAAGGAGACTGTTCATTTCTTCTTTTTTCCCCTAATGTATAAACACTCCGTATGTTCAAATGTTTGTAAGACATGTTATCTTAAAGAATATTTTTGTAAAAAAAAAAATCAAAGTGGTACAGACACAAGCTCCTGGAAAAGTGCTGGTATCTTTTTATTTTTATTTTTTTGATTGTTGGATACTTCCGCAAAGAATTCCAAATAAAGGGATTTAGCTTTGTATTAAATTTTATAATAAAAGCTCTCAAATGATAGATTCAAAATTCTAAACACTTGTAAGGATTATAAAAAGATATGCCTGAAATCTTGCATGTGTTAAAACATAGTACAAAGTAAGCTTTGTCTATGTAGGCATTTTGAATTTAAAAAAAAGTTTTATTTGTGTTTTTAGAATAAGCGAGCTAACACAAATGGTACATATTTACAACAATAAGCTACATTTCAGAAGCTGCACACGACTTTTGAAAGGATAGCTGATGGCTTTGGACACCAGCCCTCAAATGTACCTTTGTTCTTTAATTTTGCTGCAACATTTAAGATCTTGTATAATGAGTACCAAAAAAAAAAACACAAAGAAAACAGCAATTGATTTTATAGCAAAGCCACACTATTAACAAAAGTACTGAGTGAACTACAGTCTGTGACTGTTAGGTACTGTGAGTCCTGAAATTGAGAGCACAAGAGTTTCTTGTGTCCATACCTGACTGCACGTGAATTGATTCTGCCTTTTTACAAGAATATGCGGTTACTCAAGGAATGATTAAGACTAGAGAAAGGCCATGAGGGTAAACGGGTCAGAAATCAGAGGCCACTGAACAGTTTCCTTATCATTGATTCACTGCTTAGAAGGAAATCGATTTCTTCTTTCATGAGTATAAATCACAGTCTACAGGCTTCATGGATTTTATCCACAGATAGCTTTTGAGATAATGAAGGCGCCTCATTACACACCGTAAGCACACGAAAAGAAATGAATGAACTGGTGAGA